AAAAAGCATCAATAACCCCTGTGAGATTTACAGTCCTTTGGCTATTTCTGTTGTTCATCGTCAAGCCACAGGCTGGGATTCCCAATTCATTTCAGTGGTGATGATAGCCAGCATCCACTCACCCACCAATTTTAGACCCATCATCTCCTTCTGGCCACAGGCTTTACAGATGGGGAGGGAGGGAAAGTCAGCTGTTTCTATTTCAGTAACTGAGAAATGGGAGATAATTGGCCTTTGTACATGAGTCCTGGCACCGGGTTTTTGTTTTTTTTTGTGGGGGGAGCCTTGGGCAAAGGAAAGTATAACCACTACCATTTCAATTGGTAAAGGTATGTAGAGTACTGAAACACTGACATACTAAATGAAATGGTTTATTTTCACATGTAAAATATTTTCATAGTTTTAATAAATGTAAAGTAGCAAAGTAGCAGTAGTTGAATGATGGCTTTGCTCTGCACATCAGATAAAAATTAAGAAAAGTACCTATTAGAAGACTGGTCAAAAACAGCCAAAAAATAATTTCTATTTATCATCTAATGCTCAGTAATTTGTTTCCTTGCTTTTATTTTGACACACATGTAATACTTGGTCCAAACGTATGCCTGTGCAGGAGGTTTGGGGTGGGGGTGGAAGCAAAAGTAGAGGTTTGCATGCAATATTGCATTAACCCAGGCTTTCCTGACATGTTATGCATTACTTTTGGAGTCGAGTCTTTTTAATGCCATCTTTATCTGCTACACGATGCATGAAATCTACTTTCTGTTTTAGAACTGCAAATGACCCTTGACCCCTTTACGGGAGACACAATGTGACCTTTCTATTGTCATCAGCTTTCATTCTCTTGAAAATTCCATGAATTTTTATTACAAGTTTTTTTAAGCCAAGCTGGGGCTTCAACAAATTACTTGACACAGATGAGATGAAGTTGTTGAAGTAGTGTTAGATAAGTTTTACAGCCAGCATGTGTGCTGCTGAACAGTACAAAGCCAGTGTCCTACAATGTCATACACCAGTAACTGCTGAGCCTACTATTGGATAAATACATCATTTTATGGAACATTGATTGTTCTATAAACCCAATGGAGTATTATGCTCTATGATCAAACCATTTAGATTGTGTGTAGAGCACAGAAAATGCCATATTCAGGATGGTACTAAAAGTGCCATTTGTGTATTTTATGGATGTCATTACAGGGGAAACTTCCCTCTGTAGACCCTGTTTACTGCAAAATTTTTTAGACTGTAATGACATTTTTCATTCACAACGTATGCCTTCAAGAGAGGGGGCCCTTGTTTTATTTGTTTCATTCGAGTTGACTGCACAAATCCTGTACATTTTAATTAAATGTGAGCTTAACAAAAGAATAAGGTATTTATTCTGGAGGGAGGGGGACAGGGAAATGAAGACTGTAACAAAAAATAATGCAGACACACAACAGAAAGCAGTCATTCCCTGGGTTCAAAAACATAGCTAAGCTAAACCCCATTGGTACCCTTCATGAATCACATTACACAACGAAGCATATCTTATGGTCCAATTTTGCTGAGTAGGTGGCCTTTAAAAATGAATACAATGTGCAAATATAGGTTTAATATCCCCAAATAGTTGACATTTTCCATTTTGAAATTAGGAATAGTTAAAAATGCCAGTTGATAAATAAGGCATCTGTTGAAAATGCAGAAACCTTGGAAAGAAACCAGTTCTGTGATCATGGTACCAGTAGATATGAAACACCTCTATGGGGTTCTTTTTCCCCCTGGGTAGTGTTCTTGCATCATTGTATTTTGTCAGTTTCAAATGTATTTCTGTTCATTTTCACTTTGTAATGACAGGCCATCAGCAGCAAGTACAGCCTTATAATATTAATACTGTTTTAAATTTTCATTTTTTATTTGGCATAGCATATCTTCCTATTCTCTTACCTTTTCTCCACCAGTGCTACCCCAAATTCATTTTTAAAATATAAGACTTCAGTTGTTCAGCTTCACCTGATGTCGCATATGGGACAGTGATGTTTATAACTAATATAAAAATACTATAAATGTGTTGACTTGAAACATTAAAAATACGCTCTGCCATAACTAACCCTCAAAACACACCTTTAAAATTGCATATTTCTACTATTAGATTCCCTCCTCTCAAAACAAAGGAAATCCATTTAATTCCACATATCACATATACCATGAAGATCACTAAAATTGAAGTTGATGTTCCCAATAAATTTTTGGTCCAGTTAAAATTTAAACTTACAGTACAGATTCCCATTAGTTTAACTGACACTTGAACTTCTACACAGCTCAACATTAATTCATTATAGTTGAAATGGAAGAATCTTCAGTGGGTGAATCTTTTACAATCTGATTGAGGCTGTTACATTTTATAGGATCCATTTTTCAAAGCACTACTGACAGCACTCGAAGTTATTAAATTGCTGAATCAAAAGATGGACCTGCAATCGCATTTATGAACTGTGATGGAATAGCTGGGGTTGCACTGAGCCGAGGTTAAGATGTTGGTGTAGTTAAGCTTCATCACACCCCTTTAGTGACAGCAGTATTTACCCATGTAGTTTACTTTAATGGTCAGGAAGTGGCTTAACTCACCTCTGGATTCAAATAGATTAAGCAAGCAGTCAGAATGGCATAATTATCAGTGCTGCAAGGAATTTACAGGATAACTCAACCCCCAGGAGACTTCCCATTCAATTGCCGAGCAAAGACTGGAGATGCATAAATTCACAGATGCAGCACTTACCTCAGAAGCTAAGGAAAGGAATGTATTTCTTGATCTTCTTCCCTTCATACTCCATTCTGGTCCACTTCCTGAATATGACATTGTGTGTCTCCATTGTATGATTTTGATCTGTGACATCATTTTGACGGATGGCTACATAGAAATAGGATTTGGGATAGTACATTTACTTAAGACCATATCAGTATATGACCCATTTTGCATCCTGTCAGACTTCCAAAAAAATTAACTACACAGGTATTGTTACAAAAAATGGATAAATTCAGATTATTTTCTTAATTATCCCATTGTATGAATTTTCTCCTTTCTACTCTTTCTCCAAGAGTACACCTCTCCTTGTTTGAGTATACCTGGTTTAAACTTATGCCTAGGGAGAGTTAGAAAAGACCATGAACACTTTCATGTGGATCCCTATAGCTTTTCCATGTGAGATCTTAATCAGGAAATGCTAGGCCAATCATTCTGTATCACTTGAAAAAAAATCTTAAAATGTTATTTTTGCCTTAAAACATTTCTCTTGCCTTGTAACCTAAAATTATATTTCATCTTATGCTCTTAATGGCAATCTAGTCTTTTGACTTAGTAGCAGAGATATTCAGCCACATTATATTTAGTCCTATCATAGTTATGACTCAGCATTTGGGTCAAAATTAGCAGTTGGATGTGTGAAACCTCAAGACTGATACAATATGGATGATGGGTTGTGTGGTGCCCATTGTAATTTGCTGATATGGCAGCTGCGCAAGCCATTCATATGAAGTAGGTACTGTCCACTGACCAGGTTGTTTTTCATAGCAACACAATTTTGTATGAGTTTTCTGCAATGTGGTAAAACAACTTGCTCAGGCGTGAGGACCAGGCTGAGTCAATGTAAAGTACTTGCCCCATGTCCCTCATTGCTATATTATGCCTGTTCAAAGTTGCAGCTGGTAACTCTGAGTTGGCAGTGGGATCTTGCATGTTTTTCAAAGGGAGGCTTTAATCCTTGATTGGTGCTATCTATAGTGACAAATATTACTTGCAGATAAAATTCTTGTTTGACTGATAGTTGAACTACTTTGAAGGAGAAAAGGTTTGGGGACCATCAAGCCCACCCTTGGTGCCCACCACACAGATCCATCAGTTTATTTATTTTAAATTTTTCCACAGTGTCACATATTTTCAGAAAATCTCAAGACAGTGCACAAAAGAATTAAAAACATTAAAACCAGGCAAACAGTGCTTTATTTAAAAACTACAAGAGATAATATATATATTAAAACTAACATTTAAAAAACTGGGTCAATAAAAAGGTTTGGCCTGGCACTGAAATTAATAAAGAGTCAGCACCAGGCAAATGCCTCTGGGGAGCATACTCCACAATTGGGGTGCTATTGCTAAAAAGGTCCTTCTCCTAGTAACACCCCTCCTCACCTCCTTCAATGAAAATTCTTGGAGAAAGACCTAAGCTGATGACCTTAAGGTCTGGGCAGGAGTATAATGGAAAGAGGCACCTGTTAGACATCTGTGTCTTCTTCCATCTTCATGGCCTGGTACAGTTCTTTCTGCACTGGCCATACCTCAAAAGATGAAAGCTCATCTTTGGAGCAGGGAGTGAGGTGATTCTGAGGGGTTAGAGAGGAATCCGTGAATTCTTCTATGAGGTATCCAGGTTCAACCTCCCCTACTTGTGATCAGGGCCAAAAAGAAAAAGAAAAAAAAGAGACAACCAAAGCTGGTCATGTATGCCTTTCACAGTATAGGGGAAGTGCAGAGACTTCTCCATGCTTGTTTGGATGCCTGTAACATTCAAGTCTGGTGGGCTACAGGAAGCAATACTGAATGGCAGCCTTAATTCATACCTTGGTTTGGAAGCTGCCATTAAACTTCATATTCCGCAGGTTGGATGTCACAGAACTCTGTGGTTTAATAAGCCTGGATATAAGCACTGAGACTTGCTGCACAAAGGGAAGATGGGAAGGGGGAAAGGGAGAACATGGCTTTTCTTGAGCCAAGAAACCATGGTTTTACTCATCTAAGATTATAATATTAGAACTGAGCTAATGACTTTGATTCTACTAATAAACACTCTAGACAATTGAAAGCTGGGAGGGACTACAGAGAGGAAGAGGGGAGCTCCATTGTGGAAGCAGAATTCCAATGTATCTTGAAAGAGATATGTTTGTCCATGATAAGAAGCTAGTTCTCAGTCTCACAATTTCATGTCTCTGCTCCAGAACCCTTGACATAGATGCAGACTTGATTAATTTTCATTATAGGTTATCCAGTAGCTATTATTGCAGAGAACAGGGCTTTTCTGTTCGGAACCAGATTGGATTAACCATATTCTGTTGCATCAGGTAAATGTGAGCATTCACTTAGCAAATGCTAGTATAGTATCAGTTTGGACCTGGACTTAAATAGAGTGTCATGTATATTAATGACAATTTGTCATTTGTATGGTCTTTTGACTTATGAAACTATTTTAGCTGTTTTGACATTTTTACTCATTCTTCTTTTTTTGTTTTTATTTTGTTTTTATTTTTTAAAGGCATAGTTTCAAAGTCCTATGAATGTCGCCTGAAGGGTCAGGGAGCTACATTTGTGGAAACCACCAGTCCTTTTTCCAGCACAGCCCTTGATGAAATTTCTCCAGTTAATGATAAGATCCTTCACGGTGGCAGGGAACATCCGCAATCCCCCGAGCAAGTTCAACAGGTCATTATTATTCAAGGATATGACAGTGATTTTGCAATTGATGCCTCAGTGGAGGAGACTGCAGCAGCTACCCTTCAGACATTGGCAATGGCTGGCCAAGTGGCAAGAGTTGTCCATATTACTGAAGATGGACAAGTTATAACTACAAGTCAAAATGGTTCTCATGTGAGCAGTCTGATTCCAGGAGAGATACTCACTGAACAGCTGACAGATGGGAAAACACAAGTGGTGGTGGTTGAAGCCCCACTAGGAGGAACTGATATTGAAGATGCTGTTTCCATAGGGACAGATTCCGACCACAGTAATACCATGGTGCAGCATATAATGAGGCACGACATTTCAGATCCATCAGAAGTTACCAGAGTTCACCCACCAGAGTCTGCCTCAGCACTGGATGCCTTGCTTTGTGCTGTAACAGAGCTAGGTGAAGCTGAAAACAAAGCAGAACTTCTGGAAAGGGCACAGCTTTGTCACAAAGAAGCACTGCAAGCATCAAATTCAGAAGCGGATTCTGTTTCCAATGATGGCATGACCCAAGGGACTCATATGTTCCAGGATTTTCAAGGAACTGAGGAAGGCAGGGAACCCATGGAAGTAGTAACACAGGTTGTGCACCCATCTACCATAATTTCATCTCAGGAGAGAACTCAGGTGACCTTCAAGAAGGTGGTTGAGGGAGTGCTCCAGTTTGCTGTGTGCGATAAAGTTGCAGCAGACCAGCTGATGAAAGAAGGTGTCACTCAGGTTATTTTGAATGAGGAAGGAACTGTACATATGGTGGCTCGAGAAGGATCTCAGATAATAATGCAGGAAGCTGGCAGCCACACCCTGAGTGTCCAAAGTGAGCATATGGATTTGGTTGGGTCTGATGGAGAAATTTCACAGATCATCGTCACAGAGGAACTTGCCCAAGCCATGGTTCAGGACACCAACAGCAATTTCTCTAATGGTGCAACTCATTACATTGTAACAGGAATACCACAGGAGATGGAGGATGAATCTGGGGTTTATTCACATACTGTGATAGAGACAGATGAACCTCAGGAGATTTTGCAGGCTGGCACTGTTATAAATTCCAATAACATGTCCTCTAATGGAAATGGTGAACCCCTAGCTAGCATGGTCATTTACACAGAAGATGGTTCACAAACAGCTATTATCCAGGGCCAAAGAGGTGGCAGTGAACTATGAAAAAACATGAAAAAAGCTCTACCTGATAGGGTTGACAAAGACAAGGTTAAACATCAGACAGTTGGAGACATTGTATTTCATTTTTAATTTGTAAAGCATTCTTAAATGGTATTCTTCATCTAGGTGTTCAACATATCTTGTATGAAGTTAGCATCAGCAGCTGGGAACATTATACAGAAAGGGAATTATTCTAGTCTTGCATGAACAACAGTCAGGCCTAATTACAAACACTGAAAGATTTACAAAATAACACCAAAACAGGCATATGTGCAGCCACGGAAGGTAACAAGAATTTAATTCTTTGCATTAGTTTGGGTTATTTTGTTTATCACTAGTTATTATATTGTGACTTTCTAGTGTTACATTTGTCTTTCTTGTGGTTAATTATGTTAAACTTGACTTGCATTTGGAGAGCAAGCCAACTAAACATGCACCTGTATCACCTAGTTCAGATATGCATATACAATTTGTAGATAACAACTGCATTTTAAAATGCAGCAGTTTTTACAGTCATAGATTTGCCAGGTATTATGAACATTTATAATCCTAACTCAATTATTGCTACACCAAACCCCCTGTTCCCAATGAAACAATTTCATGCCATGTGTTTGAGTTGCATTTCTTTGAATATATTTGAAGGTTTTTTCCCCCCATTGGCTGTCAAGCAGAGCCCTAATTAAAATTTCTGTTGCAGTATTCAAAAAGCACCTGTTGATTCGGAAGGGTCTTTGTGCATGTAAATGCAACTTAGTTTGATATAAATAATTTCTTCATTTGAAATATCCATGCAATGTTTATTTTTTAAGAGCTAATATTGCTTCACATATATACTATTCTGCATTTCATTTTATGAAAGACTTTTGGACACATTAGATAAATTGATTTCTTTACATATAAATTCTGCCACCAATATTAACAAGTGAAAGACAGTTGACCTGACATTTCTTTCTGGATCACAATGTTGATGATCTTGCTGTGGATAAGTTCTGACTGTTCAATGTAAGTGCCTGTTAAAAACAGTTTTCTGATTCAAATGCTTCTGTTTTCCTTAAGACATGTAAGCTACAGTATAGACTGGGGGGTGTTTGGGTTCTTTACAATAAAATGATAGCATTTAAAAGGAGTATTGTCATTTTAATATCATGCTGCCATGCAGTACCCTCTTACCTGGGAGTAAGCACCACTGAACTGAAATATACAGGATTGCACTGTCAATCAGTACATGAAACTGGCATTAAGCAGAGTTTATCACAGGTCTACACAATTTGTGACCCACTAAACTGCCAGGTCCTTGACAACAACTCCCTTGTTTTTGCAGCCAGAGGCAAGCAGAAAAAATAGCAGATTTATTGAACCCCTGGGAGTACACTTTATACAGTTCTTGTCCATCGTATCACTATCCTTCTGGTTGGCTGATGTGGACAAAGGAACATTAAGAACTGGATTTCTTAAGTGCACTTATTTAATTTGCCATGGTTTAAAGGGTATTTCTATCAACTAGGCAGAATGGACATAAACTATATTTTGGATTGCCAAGTACCAAGAAGGCAGGGTGCAGTAAACTCCTCTAGAATTAACTACTTAAACAGCTATTTCCAAAGGTACTACACAGAACATGGTAGCAGGTACTTGTTGTTGTTTTTATTTTTCAAGTTAGATATGTCAGATCAACTAAAAATAGAGAACGAATTTTCAAAAAAGACACCGAGATTCATAATTAGCTGAGTTTGACTTGCTCATCCTTCTTAAAAATGACAGACTGCTCACTTCTTCTTAAACATTGTGTTCAGCAGACGGTGACAGGATCAACTCCCGTTTGTTATCAGGATAAAAGTGACCTTTACAAAATGATGGCCCTCTGCAAGACTCTCACAGATGCTCAAAGGGATGTTTTTCATAGGAGAGATTTCTTCTTGATCATTTTGCCTGTTAACTGGAGCCCTCTGGTCTTGTGGCTTGGATGCTAATTCTTAGTTATGCTCAGTCCTGTATGGCTAACCTTTCTGCTGCAGTACAGGGTGTTGACATTGACATGCTGCAGTTTACCATTTGTGATTTATTTAGGATAAATATGTCTCAGGTGGCATTTAATCCTTCATAAAACCAGTGTAGCCTGCAGTGTCAAACCAGCAATCACATTGTATGCACAATGAAAAGAGCAGACCTTTGCATAAAGGGTGGGGGGACTGCAGGAAGTGTTCACTGGCTTGGAAGTGCTGAGAAGGATTCTCTGGAAACTCAGATTAATGAGACTTCTCCATTTTGCTTTGGAGCATATTCTGTTTGCTACCACCACCAAGGTCTGTTCTCCAGTATGTTCCAGAACTAAGCATGCAGGCATCGGGCTCCAGTTGGTTTATCACACGCTTGTTTTGGTGCTTCCAGAACAAATCCTTAACTTCCATGCCTTATCTCTGTGTTACAAGCTCCTTCTCACACTCATGTCTATGTCTGCAGCAGTCATCCAATAAGGACTTTAAACACTAAAGTGAGCAGGTTTTATCAGAAATCCACAGAATCAGCTTGGCTTAGCAGTGGCTTCTATTTGTCTTTTCTACTAACCCCACCCAGCCTGCTTGAACCTTCTCTTGCATGTCTTTGGGGAGAGCGAAGGATTAGGTGGTGGAGTAGTGAATGCATAAAACAACAGAAGTCTCCTGCAGTTCCTCCCTTTGTCAGATAAAAATCATAGTAAATCAGAAATAAAAAATGAAAAATGAACAGACCTCAGAATAGTACTAGAAAATATAATTTAATAACTTTCCCAGTGAGTAGTTCTTCAGCAACATGAAAATACAATTTTCCTATTAAGGCAAAGTCTTGGCCATGTTGCTCTTGGGTTGAGGCAAGCTAGAAGCTGGAAATAAGCTTGATAAACTTTAACTCTGAGGCATAGTTTAATGTTAGTAGAAGTTAGGTCAAAATCATGGGTGCCTTATTTCTTTGCATGTAACCCAGGTTGTGTTATGTTGTGGAAGAGTGGGATAGGTCAACTACTTATTTGCAGAAGTAATCAAAGCTGCTGCTGTTGCTTTTTCTTCTTCTGTCCTGACCTTCAAAGGGCCAGTTGGGCATTCCTGGGGTAGAATCCATTCTATTACTATGAAATGAGCCATCCAGGACTTAATCCAGGTTGCTCTAAAATTTGCTTCAATGCATGGCACAGTACCAGAAGGAAAGTAATTCTGTGTGCTGTGGTTTCTGCACATGCCCAGATGTACAGTGCCTTTCCCTTAACTGCAGCCAGCAGCGAGCCCTTCTGTTACAGTTGAGGGACATGACTCTGAGGCCTCCCGAAGCCAATATTTTAGAACCTAGAAGAGAGAGAGGAAAGCTGTCTGGCAAGCAACTGCAGACTTTTCTGGTGAAATATACACCTTCCAGCATAGTGTCTCCTGCCATGTTTTGCAAGACGTGTACCTTGAAAATGAATTCTTTAAAAAATGTATTTTAACAAAAGCAAAACAAAAAGCCCAAAGCTAAATGCTATGCTGTCTCCAGCCAGCAGATGCTCACCATGGAAGTGAGATGAACCAGAGCCAATAGCTGAAGTACCAAGAGGTATGCACATGTGAGTTGTGAACAGTGCCAGGAGCGTTGTTGTCATTTATGAACGCTACCTTCACAACAGTGTGTTGATGGCAAGATCCTTCAAGAAATGTATTTGTTATGTTTTCAGGCGCATTTGTGCTGGGGAGCAATTCACAATGAACTCTCTTGCCTAAGGCTGGCCCAAGATTGCTTCTGAACTGTCTCTTCCTTTAGAAAAGCGTCAGGGACCAAGAGATGGGGTTTGAGCCACTGGCAAGATAGAGAAGATTCAACAAGTTAGAGAAACAAGTTAGACCCCAACAAAAACAACTTTTTCTTCAAAATACTCTGTCATGTGTGTTTCCTAAGCAAAACTGTCATAAAGAACCCAGAGGAGAAGCACTCATCCTGAACTCTGAAGTTAGTTCAAGTGAATAGATTATGTAATGGAAACGGGTCATTCATTTGGCAAAATGAAAAGTGGAAAGTTCACCCCCTTATTTTACAGCACAATATTAGCTCATAATTTCAAATAGCACATGGCTCACTTTAAACAGCTTACTTCTGTTCCACCTTGTTGAAGAGTACAATTCGTTTTCTGCTCCTCTAGGGTGATATCATTTTATATGAAGAAAAAAGTTAGCTCAGATGGCAGTTATACGTTTCGGAAGCACCTTCTAATCAGGGATTGGTGATTCATTATTAGCTTCAGCAGGCGATCCATCTGACATGTAAGGGGGAAAAATTAGCAGCTGTCACTGCATGATGAGTTAATTTCCTGATAGGTCTGACACTGAAAAGCCATTTGAAGACATGGAGATGGCTGATGAGAAAACCTGGCGCTGCTTTATAATTGGAGAGAAAGAAAGGGCACCAAGACAGAACAATTTGCAAGGGAGGGGTTCAGGCTAATCTACAAGTGGTGATGTTTGGCTGTTTGCTAGAAGGGGGGCTGCAAAATAGTCCATGTTACCAAGACACACAGACACATCCTTTGGATGCTTCAGGCTTTGAAATGGAAGCCGGCTATTTCCTGGTTGTGGGGTGGTGTTATTTTCAGTGGTTTGCAATTAGCGATCCCAGACAGTTTTACTCCTTATTCCTTTTTACTGTGGGTACAAGCATGCAGTTGGTTCTTCTGTGTGTGACACAGAAAGCTGACATTATAGTGAGAACAGGAGAAAATGAGGCACGCGCTCTCTCTCAGTCTATTTCTCTCGCTCTCTCTTTTTAAAACAGTTTTTACTGCTGCAGCAGATATCAGACACTGAAATAAATTGATTTAATGGAAACAAACATTTAATTTAAAAAAAAACAATGCACCCTGGAAAAATCAAAATTACAAAATGAATAATAAAAAGGTTAGTGGGCATCTTCAATAAAAGTGGAATAGGCTACAGTCCTCTGTGCATATATTTCAGAGTAAACATGCATGGGATTGCACCAATATATACTTGAGAAACATCTAAAATTTCAGGATAAGAGGAAATCTGAATGAATTATGTTTGGTTACAGTGAAATGGAGATAACTGAGGAGCACAGACTAATCGCATGTGATTTATAGGTAGCTTCCAATGAGCCAGATACTTAACAGTTTTCTGTATCCCTGTCTCCAAGGCATGAAGTCCCATTGAGTGCAGCAGGAATTGCTCCCAAGTAAATGCATACAAGGATACAACTGAGGCCATTCCTCCCCTTCTGATAGCAATGGCACAAACCCAGGAGTTGCTGTGAGATGAAGGCCACTCAGCAAGATAGTTTCAGCAAGCAGGCAAGTTCTACTAACTGGACCAGGAATACTGAACTTCGGGGTTGTGGTCACAAGCTACTGCACCAGGAGGCTCCAGGAGGACCATGCTCCATTCCCTGGCACCACCCTCTTTCCCCATAACCATTGACCCTTGTGCGGTTTCCTGGCTTTTGCATGCACACACATGCATACACACTGGGAAAAGTTAAAACGCCCCTTCTAGGGTCTAGTCATTAGTAATAGGAGCTTTATGCAAAAATATATTGATGTTGTGGGTATTTTGGTCTCACCATCTTTCGCCTGCCCCTGGAATGTGGCCTCTCAGGTTGCCTCAGAGCTGAATTTGGCCCTTGGGCTGGAAAAGCTTTGACAACCTGAACCCAATAGTTGGAAGAAGCTGTACTTACAGTTTCTGATTTATGCATGCCTAGGCCAGGGTGGGGGGAACAGCCATAGGCAATTTACACACATGCAACAACCATTTTAAAAGAGGTTAAATTTCCTGTTAGCCCCCACTCACACCCCCTCTGCCCGATCTGGGCCTGGATTTATGTGGCGACCACATGAGGAATTTTCCCCTCAGTTAAACTGCTGTGTGGCGCAAGTCTGTGAATGTTTTCTAAGACCTAAACTTCCCACTGTATTCAGTGGGGCTGAAGTCTGCATGGGTCTGCATCGGATTGCAACCTCAGCGAAATGGATATAATAACTGAAAGCCTAATGACACTAATATCTGATGATCCTTCTCTAATAATACCCTGCAGGCACTTTCCAGAGAACTCCCTAGCCCTGCTGCAGTCACTACAGTCACCAAGACGTGTTCAATGTTCAGGAGCTGA